AAAACACAGTGAAAACGCACCCTTGCGCCCAAAGCCATGTCTCACAATTCATGGAACTGTTCTGTCTCTCTCCAGCCCTTGTTTGTGCGGTCCCAAATTGGTTTTGGAGATGCTGGGAAGCAGATCATAAGCTGCTTTGCAGAAAGGTTTGGGGCCTCTCGTAATTCCCAAGTGTAGTCTGCTTCATTCCTCTTGCCACAGGGAGGACTGGCTTCATCTTTCCTTGTATTTGGGATCATAAATCCCCTCAGTTATATGAGGAGGGCAAAGGACTTTTGGATTCTGCTCTGCAGTAAAGTGGGCCAGAAAGAGCTAGAAGGAGCTGGAGCTGGGGCTCTGTGTTTTGAGATGAGATGCAATAGCAGAAAGGTCTTTCCCTGGCACTCCCAGCAGGCAGAGGAGCTGTGCAAATGCTTCTGCTTTGGGGTATGCCAGAGATAAGCTCCTGATCCCGTCTGTGGGTTTCACTGAAGGGCAGGTCCCAGGTGTAGATCCATGATCTGGCCCATCCAGCTCTGCCGCTGGAGCTGCAGGCGACAAGAGCAGATTCCTCTCCTGGTGGCCCAGAGCCCCTTTCTGATCCCAGCCCCAGATAAGAACCTCATGGGGCTGGTGCCCTTGTGGAAAACAGGGAGTGTTTGTCAGAGGCCTCGAGACCCTGGAAAACATAGCCATTCTCTGCGGCACCATGGCAAGGGCAGAGGTGGTATGAGGGCTGGGGGCGGGCGGCGGGCAGGCATGGTGTGTGTCTGCCAGTCTGCACTGCATGTTTGCATGGCTGCAGTGACATGCTTTCATCCCACCTCTGTGAACTAATTGCTCTTTCTTCCTTTCTGTGTTTTTTCTCTACACTCTCTGTAGCTGCCTGAAAATGCTCAACTTGTGGTGAGTCCCTCTCTCCAGTCCACATGCAAGGGGGAGCGGACCAGACTAGACTGGGGTTGGCAAAATCAAACCAACCAAACCCTAAAAAGACACAAAGTCAAAGCCAACCCAGAGCTGTTTCGATTTTAGGACCATCCTGAGAACCACATGCAATATTGGGGAGGGTGTGGGCTATGTCTGAGCGGCCGCATTAGGCCGAGCAATTTGGCTGATCTCAGAACTGATGGATGCAAAAGACAGATTTTAATCCTTTTCTGTTTGGCTTACCATCTCCCCCCAACTGTTATGTCCGTGAGCAGATGATGTCTAATGGAGTTGGGCAGAGTCGGGACCAGGCTTGCCAAGCATCTTGCAGGAATTCCTCACGCAGACAGTTAGGAAGGGAATCAAGGGGAGGGGGCTAGTCACTTCCTTGGAGAGTTTCCTCTGAAGAAGCACGGGCCAGGGCCTGTATCATTAGAGAGGGTGGAAAGACATGGCCATGGAGTCCGTGTTAGTGACAGAGCCCCAGCTTGGAGAGGGTGGGTGGGAGATTGCTCCTTTCCAAAACCATGCAGCTGCCAGCTGAGGGTGCAGGTGAACGGGCTTCTCCAGCAAATAAGGGTCAGAGGGGTTGGGATTAGCATTGGTCCAAGCCCAGCTCAGTCATAGGTACGGTTTTATCAGGGTTTTGAGGCCTTAGCTGTAGTGTCTCGATCTCAAGTTGTCCTGTGGAGGTGTTCCATCCCTCCTTGCCCCTTGGGGAAACTACAGACCCAGTAAACAGAGGACCAAGCGGAGACTTGGATGAGGAGTTTGTAGGTCCCAGGGAGGGCTGATGGGTGGGAATCGCTATGGAGCGAGGTGACAAAGCCTGTGTGTGGCGAGGAATGTCCTTGTTGGATGGGAGACTGACTGCCTCTGCCCTGCTCTCTATAGGCATTGCCTCCAATACCTCTGGCATCTCTGGCTTCTCTGTATGTCATAGTCTGGGGCTGTTCTCTTGGGCATTGTCTGCATGCAGAGAGATCATGTTTTGTAATTGTCAGCCTGCCTTATTTTTTTATTTTGGTGTTTTGCCTCTGCCTGTCTGAACTGCCAGGACTTCCTTTCCTGAACCCTTCCCTGGACCTCCGAGTAAGAGCCTAAAAAGACAGTCACAAGGAAAAACAGCCAGAAGTCAGTCAGCTCCCTTTGTTCGGTGCCCAAGGAAACGAGTGCTGCTCGGGCCTCTTCTTCCCTTACCCGCTGCATGCAAAATCATAACTCATGCATTTTCCATCCTCTCTCCCCATAATGTCCCCCCCTTACTCACCATTGCCCAGTCATGAAGGAAGGTGGCTGCTGTGGGAGAGAAATACTGCGACAGGTTAAAGCAGGAGAGGGTGGCAGATGGCCCGGGACAATAAAATACAAGACTAGTCCTGGGGGGGGGG